ATAATGTCAGATCGACAGGCGGTGGTATCGTTAGTTGTCAGTCTGGCAGGCAGTGGTACTGCCCAGTATTGGCGGTGGTATTGCCAGTACCTTGAAAATCCGAGGATTTGAATTTTGACTCCAATTTTTGAAGCCATTTGGGGTCTATAAATACCCCATAAATTTATGCTTGGAATACATACAGAAATAGAGAAAAAACTTTGTGATTCCAAGGTTATAAACTTTTTAAGTATAGAGTCTCTCCTCCAAGAGCTTAGTGTTAGTCTTAAGGGATATGTGTGAGGGAACACTTGTAAAAGAGGGGTGTAAAGGTTCTCTCATGAACCTATGAAAAGGAGAAAGAGTGTAAGGGTAATTGATCTTCACCTATTAGAAAGAAGATCGGTAGTGGAAGCCGGTTGCCTCGAGTGAAAAGGAATGAGAGTGGACGTAGGTCATGATGACCGAACCAATATAAATCCGATGTACTTGGTTTGCATTTCTATTTTGCTTTTCATTCTCATATTGCAAACTGATTTACTTGCTTACTACTTTCACTACGCTTACGAACGCGCTTTCAAGTTAAACTCATCTTTCTGATACGAACTTTATCGAACGATATTTTTGAATTGATGTAATTTTTCGTAAGTATTAATTCACCCCCCCTGCCCCTCTTTTAGTGCCAACTTGATCATAACAATTGGTATCAGAGCCAAATTTCTCTCTGTTTGGTTTAACACCCAAGAGAGATAGTTTTTTTTTGTTTTTAAGAGGGTCACTCTATCATTCGTCCTCCTATGTTCAATGGGACGAGCTACACTTATTGAAAAACTCGAATGAGAGTTTTCTTGCTTTCTATGAATTTAAATTTATGAAATATTGTCGAAAGTCGCTTTCAAAAGTATTCTAATTCAATGAACGAATTAAATGATTTGAAGAAGAAAACTTTTTCTTTGAACGCTAAAGCTATGAATGCTTTATTTTGCGCTTTAGATAAAAATGAGTTTAATCGTATTTTAATTTGTGAAACTATATATGACATTTGGCACACACTCCAAATTACACATGAAGGCACGAGTAGAGTTAAAGGTTTTAAAATTAATCTTTTGATGCATGATTTTATACTGTTTCGAATGAAGCCAAGTGAAACGATTATTTACATATACACTTGTTTTACAGATGTCATCAATGGCTTAAAAGCTCTTGACAAATATTTTTCGAATCTTGAACTTGTTAATAAAGTTTTACGATCTCTTTCTAAAAATTGGGATTCGAAAGTAACTGCAATACAAGAGACAAAGGACCTAAATAACTTTCCGCTTGGAGAACTAATGGAGTCTTTGATGACCTATGAAATAACGTGTATAGCACATGATGAACAGAGAATATAAATTAGGAAAAACACTATTGTAATCTTGAGAGTTCCCCTCCTCTTCTCTAAGAGGGTAATTTCTGTTTAAGGGAGGGTTGAGTGGTTGTAAAGGTTATCTCCTAAACCTGTGAAAAGGAGAAAAGGGTTGTAAGACGGTAGTTGGTCTTCACTCATTGAAAGAAGACTGTTAGTGGACGTCAGTGGCCTCAATGGAGGAAGAATCGGGAGTGGACGTAGGTCACAATGGCCGAACCACTATAAATTCGGTGTGATCTCTTCTTTGCCATTTCTATTTTGTTTTCTCTTTATATTGCTTACTGATTTGGCTGCACAATCCACTTTACACCCTTTTTATGTTAAACACATTTCCTATACGAGTTTAATTTACCTCAACTGAGGCACTCGCTAAGGTAGTTCCAAGTTGAAGGTGTTAGGACCGTGACGACACTAAGAAGGGGAGGTAAATTAATGCTATCATAAAAACGATATCGCTTAGGCCTCACCTGAGCTTTCAGCTCATGAAGCTTTTCCATATTACCAATGCATGATATTACTCTTTGTCGGGCCGTATATTCTATAATACTAATTAGATCTTAAATGATTATCCATGATGGGACTGATTCTATCTTTTCAATGATCCATCAAAAAGAGATTTTTCTAGGTACTTGAGATATATATATATATATATATATGGATTTTCTAGAGGTACTTGAGATTTTCACGATGAATGTTGAATCTTCTATGGAATATGGATCTCATTCTTTAATGTTAGAGGGTCTTCTTGAGCATTTTCCTTTGTCATCTCTCAAGCCTCTAATTTTTCTGCTGGCTGTAGATATTTTGCTTAAGCATTTCAGCATTTGTTTGCTTGTTATTTTCCTGTGTGGTCTAAGCTGATCAGATTTGATACCTTAGGATCAGCATTGGCTATAGTTTCCTATGTTTATTGGGTCTTTTGGGGTGTGGCCTTGTACTAGTCTGCTAAAATTAATCGCACCTAGTGACGAAGGATTCTACTTTTAATGCTGGACCCTGTATTACCTTATTATACTGGGTACTGACTCATATCACTTGAACAGAAAAAGAAAATAAAGGAATGAGAAAGAGCCAAGAAATATCATGGAGAGAAAAATGGCTGGAGGCAGACAGCTATACCCCATTTGTTCCTCTTCTTTATGTGCCTAATCCAATTAGGCAAGTGTCTATTATGACTTCATCTTAAACTGGTCTGTGTAGGCTGCATGACGTTTACCAATCTATTATGACTACATAATGTTAGACTGGTCTGTGCAGGCTATGTGATGTTTATCGAACCTGACCCGATATATACTGGGCCAGTTTGAGTGGCTTGGGTTGGTTTCGATGTTGAGTTGCTTTAAATTACAGAATAGTATATTATTGTTCGACATAGGACAGGGATACCCCTGGTACAAAGGCAGTCTGCATCCCATTCTCACTGGAATGGTTCATAGAGCAGTATGGCACAAAATGTGTTCTTGCTTGCCATTAATTTCTGAAACACACTATTGGAGAAGAAAAATTAGGCATGCATATCATGATCTAGTTTATCCATACGTTGTCTAGAACACTAGATTTTGGCTCATATTATGTGCATTCAGCCCAGTACTGTCTCCTGTTCCTTTAGTGTCCTATTAGGTGATTGTAGCTTACTTTCACTCTAATTCCTATGGTACTGGTACAATTGGGGTTTCAGCATACAAATTCAGAATGTGGACTATGGATAAAAAATTGTCTCATATAATGTTTGACTGAAAAGAATACAAAATTACATCTTCACTAGATCACTTTTGAATTGCTTTAACATGAATATTGATGCATGGAAACAACAAGGTTTTTTTGCCTTCATAGGACAAAGGCTGTCAAGATGCAAAACCAATTATTGCAGCTCTAAAGAACAAAGGCATATCTGCAGTTGGGGCCGCTGGCTTCTGCTGGGGAGGTGAGTCTCACGTGATATTTTATGCATGCACTTTGAGCTCTGATTGTGAAGACCCAGATATGATTACAGTGGAAAATAACTGTATCTTTTGGATCTGAAAAATGTAGTCCTAGACCTTTATCTAGCCTGAAACACATGAATAACCTATGTTATTGACTGAAATTCAACTTCTTGTATCTCAGGCAAAGTTGTCGTGGAATTAGCAAAGTCCAGTGAGATTGAAGCTGCTGTCCTTTGCCATCCTTCTTTTGTAAATATTGATGATATGAAGGGTATTCCCTCCTTTAATAATTGGACAAACTCATGCTTTCTTAACATGTTTTTATTGTTGAGAGTTGAGACAATCTTTTTTCACCATTTAGCAGGTGTTAAATGTCCTATTTCAATACTTGGGGCTGAGAATGACCATATTTCTCCGCCGGAACTGTTGAAGCAGTTTGAGCAGGCTTTATCTTTAACATCTGAGGTAAGTCACCTATAGCAGCATTTTCAGGTCAATTTAGTCATGTTGTTGGACTCTAAATTACAGAACATGCATCTTAAATGTAATATCAAACAATGTTAGCTTATCTATTTGATTAATCTACTAAATGGACCCCTCAAAATATATGCTAACATTCTGTGATCCAATATGATTTTGAGCCACATGATTTGTCAGGAAAGACACATTGTAAAGATATTTCCTGGGGTTGCTCATGGATGGACTGTCAAACACAAAGCCGATGATGCTGCAGCTGTTAAGCGCGCTCAAGAGGCACATCAGGACATGCTGAACTGGTTTACGCAACACGTCAAGAAAGAATATGTGAACTAAAATACTTCTTATTCACTCAATGGTCTCGTCGGACTGTCTATTAAGATGTAATTCAGACCTTGTGTTGAAACTTATGGTTGTTGCTTTGGAAGATGGATGTTCTTCCTGACTCGTTGAAACTACTAGTAAATTCTGAAGATTTGGTTTTAATTACTACATGCTTGAATTTATGATACCTTCTAATGTTGAGAAAGCAAAATTAATCAACACAAATGGTGGAGTTGTAAGGGCTTTCTTGAAGTCTAATTCCACAACCTATGATGGGGATTAGCAAATAGCTGTCCCCTGTAAAATGAAAGATTTTCAACTCGTTTATCTGATCATAGCACAACTTATTTTATTTTTCTGCTGTTCTTGGTCACCGAAAGCTAAGAGTTCCATATTGCTTCTTACAAGTTTCTGCCTCAAATGTTTAATATCCATAGAGTGAGTCTTACAGAAGTTATAATTCCTTTTGAGGAACACCTCTGTTTCAAGCATGCTTAGTCTCCTTTGTACTTCGGCTCTTCCATCAGGAAAGTGTGAGGCTTTGGTTTCATATCAAGCTGGATTTCTTTTAATAAAGTTGTTCAGGTGGCTGAGTCACAGGGCCAACGTGGATTTGTGCTTCCCAAGCTTATTCATGTTGTTGAAGTTTATAAATATATTGAATCCTTTCTTCACGGCTTAATCTTTTGGGTTATTGCTAACCCATGATTTGCCAGCAAAGGTTTATTATGGATAGGTCGACTGCGATTCGATTGGAACCAAAATCGAACTCGAAAAATTGGGACTGAATTGATTCTATGGTTCATCGGTTCTGAATTGAATCAGAACTGACTTCGGATGATTCGATTTTAGTTCTTAGATTTGAAAAATCAGAATCGTCAATTATAGAACTTGTGATTTCGATTTCGATTTTGGTTTCATCTCCCCTCGAATTTTTAAATTGAAGAGCTAGGCCCTGTCTTAAATCGATAATATTATAATTCAGATGAATAATCCGATCCAAATATATATTTGAGTAAATTGAGAAAACATTCAAGTCATTCACATCATAATTCTACAATTCATAAAAGCTGTACAGTTTAAATTCATATACCAGAATCATAAAATCTAAAACTCACTCGCTAAAACAAGAACCACCTTATAAATCCATAAGTGTAGCATTCTATACAATCATAAAAACAAATATTTACCATATATTCATATCATTACACAAATTAGTTTTGTAAAGGTTTTTTAAACTTTTACAAAACTAATAAGTACACTATTACTTTGATTTTAATTTTTTAAAATTTATTTAAAACAAAATTATAATTTTTTAATATTTAAATTAATTTAAATTAAAAAATAAAAATAAATAAAATGATGATTCTAATCGGAACCACTCGAATTGCAGCTGCATGTTCTCGATAGTCATTTACCATGTGTTATATGACCTGGCATGGTTGGTTGGGTATGAACTTGGTTGGTAAGTGCCGGGCTTCGACCAAAGAGAAACAAAAAAAGGAGTATGACTTGCATACAATAAAGTCAACCCAACATCTCTTTCTGGTCACTGTTATGATCACAGCAGTGGCTGCCAATGGCAATCAAAGAAAAATAAAATAAATACAGGGTTATCAACCATCAAGCCAAAATTATTCATGCCAACTTAACGATAGATGATCACTCAGCAGCCCAAGTGATCTTTTTTTAGGTTTATTGCTGATCCAGTTGGTCTATTGCTGATCTGTATGGGTTTAACTTTTGGACCATGACGAGAAGCTAGCAATGGATGACGTGTCTGAATTGGACGCTTGACCACGTGGTTCACCTTTGACCCTTGCCACGCAATGGCCTCCGTGGGAGCTCAAGTTTGACCGCTGCGAGCCGTCTTCTCATAGATTACGATACGACGTTGCACTTCACGTAGAAAGAGGCCTTCGACGACTCCCAAGCAATTAATGAGTGGCTGCCATACAGAAATAAACTCATAGATTTCCAGGTCTGCGGGTGCTTCCACCTGACTCAGACGTAGAACAATTCCCTTCCCAAGTCCAGGAGATCGAGAGATGAGTCTCAACAGCGAGCAAAACGAAGAAGGAGATCGAAGCTTCATGTTGGACGTCGCCCGGCATCAGGTGCGAGGCGGCAGCGAGCACCCCGTCTTCGCACCTCATCCCGATCCCAGGGACCCGACTCCGACAGCGAGAATTGGCAGCTCGATCGAAGCACCGGAGAAGAAGCTGACGCTCTTCGCCTTCCGCCTCGGGATTCTAGAGAAGTCGGCAAGCGGTCTCGGCACGCTAGCCTTCGTCTGGGCCACCGTCGTCCTCCTCGGCGGCTTCTCCTCGGCGCTCGTGAGGAAGGACTTCGTGATCGTGACCGTGCTTCTCGTCACCGAGAGCACCAGAATCTTCGGCCGCAGCCACGAGCTGGAGTGGCAGCATCAGGCGGCCTGGACGACGCCGGAAGGTGCAGGAAGGTCCAGCTTCCGCGTCGTCGAGGACGTCGATGCCCGACGAACGTGGCGCTCTCGTGACGTTCCCCTGCTTCCTTTCGCTGGCTGGATCTTCGTGTCGAAGAACCTCAGCAGGGGCCTCTCATGGCTTCAGCTCTCGTCCGCCCTCGCCTGCGTGGTGCTCTCCTTGATGCGCCTCATTCAGCAGGACTACGGCGAGGTAGTCGGGCGAGATCGCAGGAACCTGAGCCCAGCTCTCAATCTATTCTACGGACTGGCGCTCGCGGAGGCGCTCATCTTCCTGATGGAGAAGGCATACTGGTCATGGAGGATCTCATTCTGCAAGTTGCTGGAGAAGGTCAGCCGAGAGTGTGATCTCGGAGAAGTCTCCATCAGGCGCTTCTTCTACGACACCTACTCCAAGTGCATCGAAGGCAGCGTCTTCGACGGCCTCAAGATGAACCTAGTGACCTTCGCCAAGGAACTTCTGGTCTCTGAGCTCCGCGACGAGCAGCTCATTGGCGTCCGAGTCCTGCACAAGCTCGCCACCATCGACCGCTTCTCCCTCGACACGCTCAGGAAGATCGGCAGCTCGACGCGGACGATCGAGAGGCTCGTGGAGATGCTGAACTGGAAGAACACGGGCGAAGAGGAAGAGATCAGGATGCGTGCGGCGGAGATCGTGTCGAAGCTTGCAGAGAAGAGGAGGAACGTGCTTCGAGTTGCTGCAATTCCAGGAGCCATGGAGGCGCTGTCATCGCTGCTCGTCGTCGATGACTCCTCGGACTTCAATCTGCTGGGACTGTCCATCCTCGAGAAGCTGGCATCAGACCACGAGGACTGTTGGAAGATTGGCAATACCAGAGATCTGCTGCCAAAGATCATCGACCTCACCAGTGCGAGGAAAACGCTGCTTAGGAATGATCATGCAGCAGAGTCCCAGATCAGAACGGTGATGAGTTCGCTGCAAGTGCTGAAGAAGCTGGTGAGCACGACCGGATACATCGGCCAAATTCTACGACAGGAAGTCTCTGAGATCGTGTTCACGGTGAGCAACATAAGGGAGATCCTGCAGCACGGAGAGAGCCACATGGTTCTGCAAAAGCTGGGAATCGAGATCCTAAAAAGCCTCGCCATGGACGAGAGCGCAAGGGAGAAGATTGGAAGCACAGGTGGAGTCATCAAGCTGCTCCTGTCGATCTTCTTCGAGCCAGGATTCACCGAGGCTGAGAACTCGCTCAGAGATGAAGCGGGAGAGGCGCTGGCGATGCTGACATTGGAAAGCAAGAAGAACTGCGATCGGATCGTGAAGGAGACGGAGGTTGATAGGCTCATGGAAGCACTGACCGATGCTGTTCTTCAGATAAATGCTTCGAGGATTCTGCGCAATTTGTGTGCCTACGGCGGAGCCGAATGCTCTCATCGGCTATCGGGGATTACTGCTGCCATGCCCACTGTAAGCCTCCATCTCAAACTTCTATTATACTATCATCATCACCAACAACAACAAAACCATAACATCTCGCGAATTGATCTGATGGGATAAATTAAATTAAGTAGCTTCGTGGATTAAATTAGATCTTTAGTCCTAATCAAATCTTTAAGATGAAAACCTTACAATTAGCCTTGTTGGGAAGAAACCTGTTAAAGCGGAATAATTCTTTCCCTCTTTGTGTATCAAAGTAGATTCCCTTGATATCCAAATGAAAATATCAACCAACACAGTATAAATAATAGAGCAAAACTTCAATCACACAGTGAGACCAAATCTTTTTAACGCCCAATGTGGGAAAAACCACGGGACCATAGTCCACCTCAAATTTACACTATCAATAATAATGATAACAGGTTTACAGTAAGTCTTCTCTAGAATAACTAGAGGATCAGAATAACATCAAGAATATAGATCTTGGCTCAAGAATAATATATCTTCATCACATAGATGGATCTCCTCCAAAGAGAATTCTAGGTCTCACAAAGTGGATATCATAAGAAAGTACCTTAGAGAGGGTAAACTGTAGATCAACACCGTTAGGATTGTAGAGTTTGCTGCAAGAATTCTCCACATAAAATTTGGGCCGAAACTGACAACGTTTGGCCACCGATCGTCAAGCAGAAAACTCAGAAACCTTACTTTCTCTCTCCTCTTTTCTCTGCACGTCGCACGCTGCAATCTAATCTTGATATATTTTTCTCACATTCTCTCTTCTCTTTTTTATTTCTTTCATTTACTGAATTGAACTTAATAAGCCCAATTGTCCAAGCCCACGTATGGGCTGGACCCAACAAGCCTAACAGGAATTGCAAGCTCCAAGTAACATTCTTGTTCTCGAAACAGGTTTTGAAAGTGATTATGGAGGCAAAAGAGAGATTACTAGAGGCATCGATTGGTCTAACCACAGAGATCTGCAAATTCCTGGATCCTGATGAATTTGCTGAATTCCTCAAGAAAGCTGGCATTGAAGAAACTGATCTTGTAGTGAAGCTTGTGCAAGTGCTGAAAGAATACAGATATCCGGAAATCAGGGTTCCAGGAATGAGGAGATTTGTGATTGAACAAGCTATTTGGATGATGAGATCCAACAGAAACAGTATCCAGCTCTTCGAGCAATTGGAGATGGAGAGGTTATTGGAGGCTGTAGCAGAGACCACATCCGAGCTCGAGTGCTTCCACATTTTCTCCGGCGGTGTTGGACTGAGCAGGCACAGTAAAACCTTGTCATCTCTTGTAGAAACAGCATTGCACCTAATGACAGCAGAAGATTGAAACAAGTTAAGCAGGAGGATTTATTACCAGTCAAATTGTAATTCCATAGATATCATTTCTCTTGATCTACTTCATACATCAGAAGACTCTTCTTGCATTTAACATCAAATCTTTCTTTGCGTTTAGAATATTTTGTTTGATTAAGTAATGCATATCTTCTCTTTTTTTTCGCATGATTAAGTTGTATAATTCTTCTTTTGATTTAAGTGGTATTATTATATACTTCATACAGCAGAAGACTTGCATTTAGCATCTTTGCTTGTTCTTGAGATGGAAAGCATGGGAAGAACTCCGACGAACCATTATGAAAAGAAACCCTGTGATGACGACACCACGTGAAGCATTTCGAGTGTATATAGCTGTGAATGAAAGGGAGGAAATTTGGTCAACATGGAAGTCAACATTCGATCAAGTAATAGCTGTGAATGAAAGGGAGGTAATTTGGTCAACATGCAAGTCAACATTCGATCAAGTAATAGCTGTGAATGAAAGGGCGGTAATTTGGTCAACATGCAAGTCAACATTCGATAGGAAGAGGGTCAACTTGGTCAACGATGTGGGATTAGGATGCTAGAAGAGTTGATCATGAAGAGAGAGAGAGAGAGAGAGAGAGCGCCTTATCCTGTGCACCCTATGGTCTCTTGCTGCCCCCAAAGCGCCATCGACGAGTCTCCTCCACCCGACAAAACTAACCCTATCTGCACCGCAAAAGCCAACCTCCCTTCATATATGACATGACAACGCCACTGCCCTCGTTTCTGACGCGCTTCCTTCCTCCTCCTCCTCCTCCCTGCTTCGACTCTTGCCTCTTTGGTAAGCCTGTCTTCACTCGATGTTGTGAGATTGCCACTCTATGCCATTGTAGTGGGTGCTGCTACTTCTTTTGCTTTGCACATCTTGAGATTTTTGGGGTTTGGAATGTGCTTCTTTCCACAGACACATTGATCTGATTTTCCTCCTTCCTGTAGCAGATGTTGTAAGTCTTGTGTTTTGGATATCGGATCTTAGAATTTGTGTGAACGTTGTTGATGTTTTTGGTTTCTGTAAGGTCTTGTTGATGTTTGATTTGTGTGGATTTTGTTGATAATTTTGGTTTCTGGTGTTTGTGTTCCATCAATAGAGGACTATTTACAATGCAATGCTGATAAAACTATGCTCTTGTAAAACTACGCTCTGTTATTTTTTTGGTGGAAATTGATGTTTAATAAGAGCATTGCAATGCTGATAAAACTATGCTCTTGTATTGTATATCGGAAGGAAAAATAACAGAGCGAGAAATGAAGAAGATTTAGGGTCTTATATCAATCAGCATTGTAATGCTGATAAAACTATGCTCATATTGTATATCAGAAAGAAAAATAACAGCGAGAAATGAAGAAGATTTAGGCTAAGAAAAGAAGAATAATTGAACCTAAAACATTTTAAGAGATAACATGTTTGGTAAAAAATATTCACTGGATTAGTTTTGAATCTTTCAAGTTAATTAATGGAGGTAAATATTAGGGTCGAAATGTAACATTAATGAGAAAAGCAGGGATCAATTGATACATACAATAAAACAACAGACAATTCCGTGAGAAAACAGTTTGCAGGCATTAGCGTGCTTCATCTAATTATTTGGCATCCATTTCTTCAACAAAAGGATTGGATCATTAGACCCTCAATTTATGAGTCACATCCAATGTGCATTTTGCTGGTTTGTGGCGACAGACATTGTAGGACAAAGAGAAAAGGGAAAAAAAAAACAAACCAGAGGGTTAAGAGACCAAACATAATATATATATATCGGAATACAAAATACCACCAATTCACATTGTGAATGGAGAGATTGGAGTCAGAAATTAATTAAAATGCATAGGCACATTGGACTTACTGTTTTTCCAGTCGAACACTTGCCTTTTGCAGTCTGCCTCCCATGGCTTATAGGTGTGATCATCATTGAATCTCTACCTTTGCCCTTTTGTAGCTCCAAGGAATATACTTGAGTTAAAAAAAAGATATATGTTTCTAGTCCAAGGTACTTTATTCAATAGAAAATTTCGAAGTACTGACTATTTTTGCTAATTTTTGAACAAGCATTGAACAACTTAAATTCAGAACTTTGTGCTCTATTTTGTGTTTGCTTGACGAACAAAGGCATGATCTTTCAAAGGTTAGGAATGTTTGTTAACTAGCTATCACAAAACTGAACTTGCAAACATGCCTATATATTCAAGGAAAATGGAATTCATTGTCATTACCATCCAAGTCACAAGCATGAAGGTTTTTCCATATTGTATTTGACCCTTATCTTGAATCTGAATTGAAGTTCTAAGAGAGGTAGCAGGCAAAGATGGCTCAGATGATGGTGTCACCTATGCAATGTCAAATCAGATTTCCAAGCAAATCACTTCAGGGAAAGCCCATGATAACATCAAAGATGTGGAATTCTCTACTGTTAAATGCTCAAAGGTTTAAGACCAAAAGGAGCGTTTCTGCATTCAAAGTGCTTGCTGTAAAGTCTGACAACGGCGTCGTGTCGAGATTGGAAGATCTACTTAAGCTGGACATGGCCCCATTCACTGATAAAATCATCGCAGAATACATCTGGTAATGTGACAACATTGAATTGAAATGTCCGTATAGATAAATTTGGCAATGCATTTCTGAATCATGGGAGCTAGACTAAGAGACGAGATATCATGGAGTGGAAACAAAAGAAGTTGAAATCAAAGCCTTAATTCTTCTGTTTCTCTTTAGTTTATATGCTCAAACAATTAACCCTTCAAACAAAAAGACGACATTACACGAATGATAGAGATAAATTTTTGGATATGGTCTGTCGATCTCGACTGAAAAAAAAATGTTTTCATGCTTTATATAGGATTGGAGGAACTGGCATTGACATCAGAAGCAAATCACGGGTATGATTTTTTATTCATGTCCACTGTCAAATACTTTTCCTTTAAAGGAATAAATCATGTAAAAAAAATGTGTGGAAGATATTCTTCTCCTCCTTGCTGAGAGCTCTTTTATCATGATTAATAATCTAGACAATAACAAGGCCTGTGGAATACCCATCGGAGCTACCAAAATGGAATTATGATGGTTCAAGCACTGGGCAAGCTCCTGGAGAAGACAGTGAAGTCATTCTATAGTATGGTCTGAACTTCCCATAAAGTTTGCAAGATGACAGTTTTCTTCGTTCTAAGCTATTACTTTTACCTGCAGTCCTCAAGCTGTTTTCAAGGACCCTTTTCGAGGAGGGAACAATATTTTGGTAAGTTGTCTATCTTGAAGGGCTTTCAAGACTTTGTTAAACAGGCAGAAAACTTCACTGTTCAGTTATTCAAATTTCCAAATAACTTAGAGAATAATGACATTCATTCTTTGAAGGTAATTTGTGATTCATATACCCCAAGCGGAGAGCCCATCCCTACAAACAAGAGATATCGGGCTGCTCAGATATTCAGTGAGCAAAAGGTCATCGATGAAGTTCCTTGGTGAGTTTACTTAAAGTAGAAGATTTAGAGTGCACATACCCATTTGAGGTTACCAATTCATTTGGTTGTGCAGCTATATCTGAATATCTGTGTCATTATGTTAAACTAAGTAGAAATGGTGCTCTTTCGCTTCTTTTGAAAAAACATTTAGGTATGGAATAGAGCAGGAGTACACCTTACTACAGACGAATGTGAAGTGGCCGCTTGGATGGCCTGTGGGAGGATACCCAGGTCCTCAGGTAACATTTATCTTGTTTACCCTCACAGGCTTTCAAGTCATAGTGTTGAAGTGAGCGAGAAGAGAGGATCCTTGGTCCAAGTAATGGTAGTGGTTTGACTAATAAGAAACTTAGATAACTTTCAACACTTCATTAGAAGTGGGCAGACTGACTAGGACATGAAATTTTTATCTGTTGCTCTCAGCCTTTTAATGTGATATTGCAATTTTTACTTAATGTTACACCTAATATATTGGTCTAGTCTAGTGATTGTGAGATCTACTTACCATTCGAGATCTCAATTGGTAAATTTTTTCCTTAAATTATTGATCTAGTGGTGTATCAGAATTATTTACCAAAGTTATAGTAATTGTGTATCAGATTCACTGACCTGCCAAAGGATGACTGTCAGAAACCTCATCTGGCAAATTCTTGAAGATGTCAGCTGAAGTAGCTGATAAAAGACGTAGTTTATGGATAGCAAAGTCCTGATATTGAATTCCAAAGACCACTTGGCCCAGTTCACTGAGTACTGTATATATCACAGAACTGGATCATGGTTGAAAACCTAGAGCATCTGTACATAACTCTTCATTGGTGTTTGCCCAAGTTGTAAAACCTCTGAGAGATAGATATAAGGAAATGACCTCCGTGTTCATCATGCTCCTACAAGTATCTGGTAGCTTGATAGGAAATAGCATAAAACTGATCACAAACATTGGATGGTTTCAGGGGCCGTACTACTGTGCAGTAGGTGCAGACAAATCATTTGGTCGTGATATTTCAGATGCTCATTACAAGGCCTGTTTGTATGCTGGAATCAACATAAGCGGCACTAATGGAGAGGTTATGCCTGGACAGGTATTTTTTTTTTCTCTTCCTGTTTTTTGCATGTCAGAATGCTTTACCTTGTTTTTTGTTCATGTATTGTTCCTCTTTAATTTATTGACCAACATTGAGATCATGCAAGAGCTTTGTAAGGAATTCAGCATCCTTATTCTGTTTTCTTTGTTTCGATATTGTATGTTAGTTAGTACATGGTTCCTTTAATATGTTGTTTGATAACATGATATGTGTTTCTTTTTTATAATTTTCCAAGCTAGTTTGGAAGTTATGTGCCATCTTATGCTTGTTTATACATTCTTATACGCACTTGCATCAGGTACTTTTAGGGAGAATAAGAATCATAATTGTGGTCCTGACATGAGCTTTTAATTTCTTGAATTTCTAAAACATATTAGTTGCCTTGTGCAGTGGGAATATCAGGTTGGGCCAAGTGTAGGAATTGAAGCAGGAGATCATATATGGTGCTCGAGATACATTCTTGAGGTAATCTTCCATAATCTCTTTCTGGTTTCAAAACAGGAGGGAAGAAGAAAGAAAATTATATCAATTTATTATAAATGATCATTTATCTGACTTTCTGAGAATTTATTTATCCAAGAATGATCTTTTCTAAGAAATATGCTAAGTGGATATGTGGCCGCAATTCAAGCCTCAAAAAGTCATTATTCTTCTTTATCTGTAATTTTACATAGATTAAAAAAATGCCCAAGCCATTCCTTTTAGGAACATTTCAATTTTCCTTGAGCTCAACAATCTTAATGTTTTCGTTTTGTGTCTTCTGTAGAGAATCACGGAGCAAGCGGGTGTCATACTCTCTCTTGATCCAAAACCAATCGAGGTACTTGCGTCTTAATGCAGAAACAAGAATTACCTGCATATCTTGAACAATTCTGAGTCTTTTTATTGTATGGATAGGGGGACTGGAATGGTGCAGGTTGTCACACAAATTTCAGGTAACATGCTCTTCTTTTTTATTGGTGCCGTAGTTGAACTGTAGTCAATCTCATCTATGACCATCAAAATAGTAGTTACTAGGAAAGCTGACATAGTTGAGGAGACAGTAGTTACGGAGTCATGATGCAATAGTGAAGTAAACTAAAATCATCGAAATAGTTCGATAGTAATCGTCTATTTTTTGCATGAAGGTTAACAAAAACTGCATTCAAATGGTTAGCTGAAAGAACTGACTTTAGGAAAACGTGAATAGCTTTTGTTGAGATTGCATTTATAGGAGAAATCTAAGAAGAGCAACGGTGTTTGTAAATTGTAGAAGAAGAGATGGAATTTTACAGAGAAGAATATTAACCTTTCATGTTGTTGATTGACACTACTGTCACCAATGAAGATAGGAGGCGTCGTCATCGGTAATAGATTCCATCGAAGTCTTCAGTTCTTCCATCATTTCTTCTATTGAAGATCTACAGATGCTCAATAGATTCTGTTCTGCAAAAAAAAAAAAAAAGTTATCTTGTTGAGTCTGAATCATTGATCTAAGATAAATGAATTCATCTCTGTAAAATTTCACATAAATGATTTCACATGAATGAATTCATCATATAGATTTTACTTTTGAATCAGTCTCACCAGATGAGATTGGTTCCAGTATGTAGTTTGACATACTAGTTTGATCATGCTGCAGCACCAAGAGCATGAGGGAAGAAGGTGGATACGAGGTGATCAAGAAGGCCATCCTCAACCTCTCGCTCCGCCACATGGATCACATCAGCGCGTACGGGGAAGGCAACGAGCGACGCTTGACCGGGAAGCATGAGACCGCCAACATCAACACCTTCTCTTGGGTACGCCGTCCCCTCCCCCTTCCTTCCGCTTCCTTCAAATCTTCCGCTACTTCACTCACCCTTTCTTCTTCTTCTTTCTTTCTTTCTATTTGCCCCCGAACAGGGAGTGGCGAATCGCGGCTGCTCCATCCGCGTAGGGCGCGACACCGAGAAACAAGGCAAAGGTAGCGTCTCTGGAACCCTAGCAGACGGAGGCGGAAGCGGGAATTGCTGACCGACGTTGTTTGGGTGTGGTTGTTGATGATTTAGGGTACCTGGAGGATCGTCGCCCGGCATCGAACATGGATCCCTACGTGGTGACGTCGCTTCTGGCCGAGACCACCATCCTTTGGCAGCCATCCCTGGAAGCAGAGGCGCGTGCCGCCAAGGAGTAGTTGCAGTTGCAGGTGTGAAGATCACATGTTCGACAAAATGGCACCCATCACCACCTCGTTTGGCTTCCCCTTTCCCAAGGCGTTTCTTATCGTGTGTTCTGCGTCCCTCCTTTGGATGTCAATAACGAACGTTCCCCCGGTGTTCAGTAAATAGAGTTGTCTCGTGGAGTTGCAGTGAAAGAAGGTGCCGCCGGGAATGTTCCATACAAGCACGGAGAATTAGTTACCATATTATACACGTAAATTTAGGTTGGCAAAATCTAAAATGAGGATGGAGGAAAGGGAAGAAGATAGGTTGGACGGAATCATCTCAACCATCATGCTGCAGAATATAAACAAACTATTCAACCTCACATTTCTTTGGTTTGCCGGATCGCATCGAACGAACTCGGGCATGTGTGTTGGTCGAGAAAGACCAAGGTGTAAGATAATCCTACTTTTAACACAAGAAACTGATAATTTTGTTTCTAAAAAAAAAATAAAAAAAAAATAAACCGATCCTTAGACTTAATTATTTTGTTTTGTACAAAACTGAAACACCGAGGTCCCTTCGAGCCGGAACGTAAAGAGACTAAATAATCTATTTTTCAACCTTGAGCAATAAAAATAGGAAATAATATATTTTTCAATCTTGAGCAATATAAACAGGAAATAATATATAGAGGGGAAAAAAAAAAAAGGTGGACGGCGAAGTGTAAGAGGTAGTTTTGAGAAGTTCTTCATATTCCTCCAACGAAGATCCAAGTCTCCTTAAATATAGGGTTTTTAATGGACCAAATGGTCAACCAACCACTTAGATCTGCAGTTCCAATCAAAACTAAATTGGTCAAAAATTAAAACTAAACCAGGTCAATAGTTTGATGATTTCGAATAGTTCCATTTCGATTCTTAGAATCTAAAACACAATTCTAGTTTGATTCCAAATCGATCAGATAAATATAAAAAAAATCTACATATCAAATGTCCTTCCAAATGATAAATCTACCATTTCTAATAACTTAACAAACGACTAATTGGAAAGATATTTTAGAAAACAATAAAAAAATTAAAAATTCAAATAGGTAGTTCAGGTTCAGAATCGAACCCAAATAGTCCAACAGAACCGATGGTGGTTCCCACGATTCTAGAACTGAGACTAGGACTGCAACTACTAAACCCAAATAAAATAACAAAATGGTTACTTAATCAGTCAAAGAAAAAATAGCAAAAAAAACATGAATATAAATGAAGAGGGTGGAAAATATGGAAAGAGTGGAATGAAAAGAATGAAAGAAAAGAAAAGAAAAAAGCATTTGAGTTATCTCTCTCTCTCTCTCTCTCTCTCTCTCTCTCAAATCCTAATACAAGGTGCACGACTATAATACATTCTAGCCTTGTCAAGGAATCCAAGAATTCATAACAGATGATGAAAAAAGAGTAAAACAAACTAGGATTGAGAGACAACCCAGCATTATCCATGTTTAATAGCAGGATTCAATGTTGTGGGGGAGAAACCACCCAACGAAAAGTGCTATTATAAGAGAAACCACAACAGAGCCAGTCAGATTAATGGCATTATCCCTCTGCATCTGCATGCGTGGGTATTGGCACACCAAGTTCTGCGGTCAGGGTCTTGTAGGCATTTTGTATTCTTCTCGTGATCGGACCAACTTCTCCATTGCCAATCACGCGGCCATCGATCATCACCACCTGTTTCAAGCAACTCCTGTCATTTTTTTTCTCACATAAAATGAATTATTTATTCTGAGAACCATTATGAAAAGGAAACTTGATCTAGGCCACATATGGGACACTCAAGGTAAAACTATGACCAGTCAAGTCAATTAAGCCCTAGGAAAGGAATTTGGTCCCTAAATTCCATTCTTAAATTCACAGTGAACACTGAGCTGACAGAAAAAAAAAAAAAAATCACTGTGAGTTCCATTTGTGTGGTTATAAAACTTGTAGGCCAACATTAACTAATCAGTCCATAAAAAGTATGTAGATTTGGCTAAACTCAAGTGCACCCTAGAACAGATGCTTTCAGTCTTATCTTTTATGTTGGGGATAAATGACAATGACCGACATATTATATATCTCATCTACCAATTGCAAGTCTCACACAAATATTCTTCTTTCTTGGGAAACAAGTTATCCCAAAACAATCTGTTTAAACTTAAAGCTACAAGATTCTGCCTTGTATTACAGGTTAGGAGAATGCAGAAACTAATATATTTTTTCTGTATATTATCCATGTTTGGATACTGATTAACTATCTAGAACCCCAATTTAAGTGTCATACATCGAACTTAAAGCAGTATATTATTGACCTTGTTCATATTTGCCCTTGTTATGATACACAGGCAAGGAGCTTCAGAACTGGTTGAGTTTAGGGTCATCACTTAAAATCAATTTATTCTAATTTTCATTGATGTCTGCCAGACTTGAACTGAACGGTTTTTCCCCTGTCAAAGCCTGAGTGTATCCAAGTCTTTCTACTGAACTGTTAAACTAGAAAAGCAAGCTAGAAAATTGTACAACCAACAGATGTATACCAAATTGTCAATAAAATTTAACAAAATAAATTAGATACAATATAAGCTTACTGGTGTAAGTTCACCCATTGTTCCAGTTGTCCAAACCTACAAATGATAAATACAAAGTCATCAAGCAGAGTTGACATTAGCAACAACTAAATCCAATCTTCTTAAAGTTTGAAAAAAAAAAGAATAATGGAGTGATATAATATGGTAAAAAGCTTGAAGATATATTTATCAAGTCATAAAGATTATTAGAGGACAACAGGAAATAACCACTCAAGAATGAAAGTTTGGCAATTAAAGTGATGAAAAAGGGTCATTACTAAGTCAACAAAATAATGTGCAAGAAAAATATCATCATACAACAGAGTATAAAATTGTGATGTTGGTGTGATACAATATGGTAAAACATTACATTTCTTAAGTAATAATTTGATAATTATTTGCAAAATTTACTAGGATTAGAGTCATTAAATTGGCATATGCCAGAACCCTTGATGAAATAAAAAAAACCCTAACACCAACAATTTCAGTCAAATATTGGCTTCCAAAAAGCACATGGTCCAGAGTCTCCCGACCACTGTTCTGAAAAGCATGCATAGTTCAGTTTTAGAGGGTCAGGCACCACAGTAAGCACTAAAGAGCTTTAAGTTGATAGCAGCTGCTGTGATAGTCTAGTGACTACTATAGTACCAATTGTGCTACTTGGTATAGTTACTGCTTCATGCCCAATTCCCACAGTATCCTGTTTTTCAAACAGTTGAACCTTGACCATTGTCTACTACCATTCCAAGGCACCAGCCTACACTGATTAAACAAAAATAGGATGACTATATAAAATTTTGATGTTGATCATGTCACATATTTACTAATTTTATATATGACATCTACTTTCCATGCACCTGTTGATTTTTGGAGTTTGAATCTTTGTTGATAAGTTACTAGGTTTTTCTTGGTGATATAAATCACAATTTACATTAGTTGTGCACTTTGGGCATGTAGTGTCCCACTATAGCCATTTGATTTGAAGAACTTCTACCACCTATGTGCTACCATGGGTTATTTATAACACTGGTTGTTTCACACTATGAACTTAGGTGTTGCTTTGCCAAATATGTTTCACCCAGGGAGGGTTTTATTAGCAAACTTGTAAATTTTATTTTATTTCCTATTTCCTTTCAGCATGCAAGTGGTCTGGCCACAAATAATTATTTCAGGAGAGTGGCAAGGTTGAGATTTCCTAGCTCTAGATTTTCTAGATCATGCCATGCTTCAAGAGCTTCAATTGATATGATTCATAGAACTCATCAAAAGTGCATATTTTATTGACTTATGTGGATTCAAATTGGACCAAATAATCGAATGTGAACTATTTAAAATGGGCTCACATCCTGACTGGAAAGACATGACCTGCTACCAGACAGAGGAGGCTTAAGGCTAATCAAACTTTATGTAGTCCTCATTTCTGAATTTGTGTGCTACTTTTTCAACATCAAATCACTTTTAAAGTTCTTATATCTTTCTGGTGGATACAATCCATTATAAAGTTATTCAATAACCATTATCTCAAAATGCAGTTTCCAGTAACATTAAACAATAATATTTTTCCAATAATCCCAATTCATAATCCTTCTTCACATTGTACTCAATTCTAACAGTAACATGCTGTAACTGGACATTTGATATTGCATGACACAACCCAAAGCCTAATAGATAACCACTATCGAGACATCCTCAAACAGCTCAATTTCTGATCATACTTAAGCAGGAGATCATGACAATAAAATCGCACAACTGGTTGTTAGAAAAAATACGTTTTTCTTTAACCAAATCACCAACCTAAAGGCTTACTATTTTCATATAAGAATTACTTGGAGCTTTAAGTTAGTAATAACACGCATGCTATGAGTACTGAAGGTCACAACCAGATGCGCACTGAAGCTCTCCAAGTAGAGCTTTTGGTAGCAATTTTAAATTGATATTACAAAAAAAACTCAAATTAGTATGCACATGGAAGGAAGCAACCTAATCACCTTATGTGAAGAAAATATAGATTATGCTATTCAAATCATACTGAACAAGCACCACATTCAATTCATGCCAGTTAGATTAACATGCAATATGATCATTTCATGGAACAATAGAGTCCACAGTGACTTTGTCTAATCACATTGCAGTTCACCTCAAAGAGCTTTTATTTTTTTCCTGATGATTGCATACATTTGAATACTTGATAACCATTCATTAGTTACATGACTGAGAACTACATCTGTTTTGCAATCTATCATCGATATCATTAACTCATTAATGTAAACCTTTTCCATGATTCCATCAATACGGAAACAACCAAATATCACAGTCCATACAAGGAGAAAAATAAGATCAAGAGTTTTAAGATGGCTTTCAAATTGAGCTCATCTGTCCAAAGATGCATTTTTGTTTCTGGGCATGTACTTCACATGAACCACACAAGAGCAGTGGCAACATGAAAATCCACCCTATAAACACAAAAATCATGTAGTTGCTCCACCACATGGTTGAGAATTTGAGATTCTATTGAATAAAACCTGTAAACCTTCGCAATCAACTTTTCAAATTGTTTGATATTCTTTCTTTATGACACATTTCCTCTCAATGTTCCAAGGTAGTTTTCAGAGGACAAACATTGGGACAACCAAAGGTTGCACCTA